GTATTCTAAGGTATAAATCATTTTTACATTTCTGTACCCCTCTTTACAGGTGTGTCTAGCAAGGGAACCAGCCTAGCATGTATTACCCTGTGCCCTATATCAACTTAATGCATTACTACAGCTGACTGTAGAGGGTGTGTTGTGGTGCTTTTTTTTTTTTTTTTTTTTTTTTGCATGACCAGTTTAATTGTCAAAGAAGTAATGGCCAGAATGTCTGGTTTTAATTGCCTGATGCAGGAAGCTCTATAGGCTGTATTTCAGCCCTGTCTCTGGAGGGTGAAGAGTTCACATACTCAATCACTGTGTGTCACTTTCAGAACTGAAATTGTTGGAGAAAGTAACTTCTCCTACACTGAGAGGCACAGGGCTATTGTAGTAATCACATGGGTTTCTCATCTGCAGCCAGCACTGCTGGGTGTTTCAAAAGGAGCTTTGAAAGAAGATGAGTCACTGCTCATTCCAGCAGAGTCACTTCGGGAACATGAGATTTTGGCTACCGTATCTTCTAGCTCCTAGTGACTGGAGGAGGTGGAAAGATGCCAATACAAGCAATCCAATCAGTGCCTCTGAAGCAGCCCTCCCCTCCCCTCCCCTCATTACAGCTGTGTCAATGAATACTGACTGAAGCACACTAGGGATTTTAAATATCGGTTAATTGATAGTCAGTTAACCATGAATTCTTATTGGTTACTCAGCTGTTCTATAGTCCCCAGGGGTAGAGCTGGCACCCAGTGCGCTGCAGCACCACTCCTGGGGAGCCCCCTGCCACTCTGCAGAGCTGCCTCTGTATCAGAGGCTGCAGAATGTGGTGCCAGGTGGGAGCTGGTCCAGGAGGGGAGCCAGTTTAAAAACCAGCTCCCCTCTGCTGATTGAGGCAGCATCAGCTCCGGGGGGCGGCGGCGGCGAGAGTCTGAGCTCCCAGTCCCAGCACAAGCTGGACTACTGGCCAGCCTGCTAAAACAACTTACTGGCCTGGGGGTGGGAATGCATGTAGTCTATAGCATTAACCAATACACTTTTGCTTATCTGTTAATCAACTACACTATTACATCCCTAAAACACACTGAACTTCCTCAGGTAGGAAGTTGTATTTAGAAACCAGCATGAAAAGGCAAACTGAGACTGAATTTAACTCAGTTGTATGGGTGGAAATGGAAGGTGATTCACCTGGCACCCATGTGTATGAAGACCTGTTGATGGGGGGGTATGCAATGGAGGCAATTGTCTTGGGGCCCACGTGATTTAAAAGGGCCCAGTGGACACCAGCTGCCATTGGGACAGTTCATTAGGGCTAAGGAAGGCTCTCTGCCCACTCTTAATGCTCCTGGAAGTGGCTAGCACATCCTTGTGGTGGGGCAAGGGGTTTGCGCACTCTACCCTGTCGCTCCCAAGTGCTGACTCTGCAGCTCACATTGGCTGGAGCTGTGGGGGTGATGTCTGTGGGCAATGGGAGCCTCTCTCCCTCCCACCTACGAGTCACTGCCAGAGGGGTGTGCCAGTCAGGAGCCACCTGAGGTAAGTACTGACCCTCCACTTCTGCACCGCCCACCCCCAAATGCCTTCCCAGAACCTACACTGGGCACCACACCCTAAATTCCTGCCTTAGCCAGTTGGAAGTGAGGGAGGGTGGGGGAGAGCGAGTGATAGACTCTTGCCCCCCCACCCGTTGCTGCCTCCCATGGGATGTCAAAGCAGTCTTAGACAGGAGCTGCTGCTGCCCCAGCTATTGCCTTGCTCCATGCTGGGTTCACTGCAGACAGAAGCTGCTCCATGGGATGCCGGAACAGCCTCTGTCAGCAGGGAGCTGGAAGATCCCTACAGACCTGGGCTGCTGCCATTCCACACTGCTGCCTTTGTATCAGAGGCACCAGCATGGAGTGGCAGGGGTTCCTCAGGAGTGGGGCTGGGATTGTGGAGTGAACTGGCTGTTGGCCCCACCTCCAGGAAGCATTTTAGAAACTGTAACTACTAAACTGTTGCAGCTACACAAATACTAAAACAGATATCCAGCATCCCTACTTGCAATACAGTGTTGTGGTGGAGCTCTAGTCTCACTCCCTGGGTCTGTGCTTCCTGGTGGATTTTTAGTATGCCTCAGGCTCCCAGTGACCTTTCCACTGCCTCTTGTCTCTCGGAGGTAAAGGTCCCTGCTTAACAAGCCAGTGTCATGACAGGTAAGTCACTCACTCATGGTCCTAAGCTCCCCTTTTCCCTGGTGGTGGCCCACCCCAAGTATGGGTAAGGTTGGGACCCACCTACAGTGTCACCCACTTACTTCAGGTTCCAGCCCAGGGTGGGAGGTAGCAGCCGCTAATGGGGCTCTTATCTCAATAGAATAGTTACAGCCTCTCCTTGGACCACTTCCCCAACCACTCCCACAGTACCTTCTCCCTGGCACTTCCATGAAGTCTCTCCTGCTTATAACCTTCTGTTTGCCTCCATGCTTCACTTCCTTCTTTACAGTCCATCACTCTTCTCTTTCCCCTCTCTGTTACCTGAGGGGAAGCCTTGGATAGTGAACCATCAGGCCTTCACTGGCTGCATGTGTCCCATTAGCCTGCTACAGCGACCAGCTCTTAATGAGTCTCAAGTGCCCGCCTATCTTAGTTACTGAGCAACAGTCTCTGGCAGCCTATGCAGGAAACAGGATCCCACTCACCCAACTCCTGGTGTACCCGCCCTCCACCAATCTCCTGCAGCCCCACTGCCTTTGGTCTGCCACAGTATGTATTTATTACATGCTCATCTGAAAAATAGCTTGCGGCTTTTTTACAGCTTTGCAAATTTTTTCTGCTAGTTTCACATAAAACAAATGTAGAATTGGATAATTTTCTGTAAATGATTGTCTCTGCAGTCATAAGTTAAAACTCCAAAAATAATCACACTATTGAAAAATCAGCTACATACAATAAGCAACTTTATCACCTAAGTAAGTGGCTTCTGGAAGGAAAAATATTCTCTCCAAATCCATTTTTCCTTTGCCCAGCATTATTTATGGCTATACTCACAATTTACAATGATCCAAAGGATAACACTTTAATTTCCATTGAATAAAGAGCTGCAACCACTCATCTTTTTAAGTCTCGGCTTGACAAAGCCCTGGCTGGAATGATTTAGTTGAGGTTGGTCCAGCTTTGGGCTGAGGGGTTGGACTTAATGACCTCTTGAGGTCTCCTCCAGCCCTATGATTTTTATGATCTTTAATAATGCAAGGCCCTTTAAATCATGAAGGAGCATAGTGTGCTGGGATTTACAGTCTGTGTCATAGTCCCATATTAATACTGTAGTGGCTTTCATCTGAAGTTATTAAACCATTTTGCAGTTTAGAATAGAAATCTGAAATCTTTTTATTTTACGTGATTATAATCAGTATTGTGTTTTTTTTATTTTTCTCTGGAGTTTAGGCCTTGCAAACACCAAACTTTCAGAATGGACAATGCATCCTCACATAGGATTAGGGATGTTAGATATGGGTGACACGAGAGGGATCACTTGATGATTACCTGTTTTGTTCACTCCCTCTGGAGCATCTGGCATTGGCCACTGTTGGAAGTCAGGACAGTGGGCTAGAAGGACCTTTGGTCTGTCCCAGTACAGGCATTCTGATGTAATTCTTAGCAGTTACACAATTATTTGATGGTTCCTGGGGGTGGGAATGGCAGTCAGTGCACTCCTGGCCCCACTCCTGGGGAGCCCCCTTCCACTCCATGCTGCTGTCTCTGTATCTGAGGCAGCAGTGCAGGGTGACAGGCAAAAGGCTGGTCTGCGAGCAGAGCCTGAGCTCCCCATGGACAGAGGCTGTGCTGGTATCCGTCCTCCCCCCACTCTCCTCCGCCCCCCGCTGCTGCCTCTGATACAGGGGAGGGCAGGCAGCTTCGCAGGACCCGGTGCTTGTCGGGAGCCAGCTTTAAAGCCTCCCTGCACCCCTTGCTGCCTTTGATATAGAGACAGCAAGGCAGGATTTGCGTGCGTGCACGCGTGTAAACATTTGGAGTTACTAAGGATCCTTACATCATAGAACTCTGGTTCAATTTGACTAGTAGGCTGCACTTTAGCTGCTGCATGTTACATCCTATAGAAAGAAGTAGCCATGAAGGTTTTGTAAATGTGTCATGGTATCCTAGTTAAAGCCACATGGCAGAAGTGTAATGCAGCACCAAAGAACTATTGGAGCTACAGATGAGACTATAGTAGACTAGTTGTATCCCCTCCTTTTCTTTAGAGCAGAGCTTCTCAACCTTTCCAGATTACTATACCCCTTTCAGAAGTTGGATTGGTCTTGTGTACTCTCAAGTTTTACCTCACTTAAAACTTAGCAAATTAGAAATAAAAATACAAGTGTCACAGCACACTCCTATTGATAGAAAGTTGCTTTCTTCCTCATGTTTATGGTATAATTATAAAATCTATTGGAACATAAATATTTTACTTAAATGTCAGTGTATAATAGAGCAGTATAAACAAAACATTGTCCATGAAATCTTAGTTTGTACAGACTTAAGTAGTACTTATTATGTAGCTTGTAAATCTAGGAAAATATGTAGATGAGCTGCTGTACTTCCTGGAAGACAGCCAAGTCCCTCAGGGGGTGTACATACCCCTTGCTGAGAACCATTGCTTTAGAGGTCAGTTCAGCTGTGTCTAAGGACCGCAGGCCTCTGGCTTATAAAGAGCCATCTGAGTCTGTGCTGTTAATAAAAGATATACAGTACATTCAGCTGCAGTTGCTGAGTCATAAGCAGATATGTGTGATGCTTATCCTCTTTCAAGTTTCTGTATGCTAAAGAAGTTGTGTCAGGGTTGCAGCTAAGATGCCCAGAGCAGGTGTTTCTTTTAAAAATATAATCTTCTCCAGCTCTGTGGGTACCTGGCTAATGCAGCCTCATTCTGCGGGCTACAGTCAGCATTTCTCTGCAAGACTGTCTGGCTGCATGCAAAGCAATCGTCTGGTTGCGCACACTTCTATTGGGCTGAGATTGCTGGTTTGAATAATGAACATGTTAGTGTCGGGAGAGGTGATTGGCTGGGCACTGCTGCAGTGAGAATGCAGGCTGGATACTCAGGGTTTCAGCTCACTTGATGTGCGTTAGATGAGCCAGGGAGAGCAGGTTAATTGGTAGTTTTGACCAGCTTCTAAGAATGAAAGGGTCCATTTTAGCTTTCATAGTAAGCTCAGCATCTTGGTTTCTCTGTCCAGGCTTCATCTAAATCTCAATATCTTGAGTTCTCCAGGACAGAGCTCTTGAGGTTTATCTGTTGCCATCAGCTTAGTGAACTGCTTGTCAGGCCAGGCACGACAGCTGCAGCCGCAATTTCAAAAGGTAGGATTCAGCTGCAGGAATAGTCTGTAAAGAAACAGAGCTTCTGGCGTTGCTAGCTTGAGTCTCTCTCTGGCTGCTGTGCAGAACGGATTCTCGGAGTGCTTGTAGTGTAGCCACATCCTTGGCAGCAGGGAGCCACTTCTTGCAGGGTTTCCTTGACTGGGACTTTCCACTGGAGCAGCAATGCTGCAGACCCTCTGGTGCTTTCTGGCCAGCCTCTTTACCAGGGCCATATGCCAAGGTCCTGCAGAAGGAGAAAAGAATGAGATTAGAGAGCCGACTCCTGTTCCAGACTCAAGGGACCAGGGGCCAAACCTGTTGGGGAAGCCACAGGACAGAGGGGCTGATCCCACTGAAAAGAGACCAACTATCTTACTGGTGGTTGGACCTGCAGAGCATTTTCCAAAGGTAATGGAGCTTCTGAGGTTCCTGAATAGCATCTGGCTTTTACTGGGTTGCACATGATTGGCCTGCTGGAACAAAGGGTGTTGGAGATGAGGGAGTGTGAGAATGGTGTCCCCTAAGGGGGATATGTTTGGTGGTGGGAGAGGGCTTGCAAGGAGTAGGGAAGGATGGATCCTGGGTGTGGCTTACTAGAAGTGCAAGTGTGTGGTGGGGGAAAAAGGAGAGAGCAGTGATTATCTGCAGAGGTGTAATGAGCTGCCAGTAGTTCTTATTACCCCCTCCCCTTTAAAAAATGTTTTGAGGGCTGACCTCTCTGGGGAAACTGCTTTGGGAACAAGATGGAATATTAGAGCTCAGAGGTTACTTGGCAACTGAAAGAGGAGGGTTAACTAAGAAGGCAAGGAATAGTAATATGGGCTAATGGTGGGGTTCATGTACCTCCATCCCTGTACTAGGGACTGCTTAAGGATTGAGAGAACCTCAGATGTCTTAAGAATAGTCTAGTAACGTGGGTATGAGGGATGATGCCTCAGGAGATGCAAGAGAAACCAGTATATTTTGAGTGAACAAGAACCTGTCAGCATTAGCTAAATAGTATGCAGACCTGGAGTCTGTCAGAGGCATCAGGACTTACACCTTGGAAATGAATAGCTTCTCAGGAGAGGATAGGGAAGGGATGCTGGAACTGGAATGCAGATTGAAACTTCTGAGTCTGAGAGTGGGCGGGAGGAATGGGGAGGGGGCGGGGAGGTACTATAGATGGAGAACAAAAGGAGAGTCTTTGTTTCAGGGGCAGCTAGACAAAAGCTGCTAAATAGTATGTTAGCATCCAATAGCCTGGGATTGTGTGACAGTATTGGCTGGGTACAATTGAAGTCTCTTAATTTGATTACTTAGCTATTTAGAGAGGCCACAACTGCTCCCTGTTGTAGAAGTTATTATGGAATTGGGGAGAGAAGAACAGTGAGGCTAATTATAGATGGCTTGTTACAAAAGGGAGTGTCCCTGGGACTGGGGAAGAGGGGTGTCAGGCAGGTACAACCTCTCCAAGTAATGGGAGCAGGGGAAGGGAAGAATGTTGAGGTAGATGGCTGGGCCCCGAGCAGAGATAACCAGAGGTGGCTTGCAAGGTCCAGTGTACTAGGCAGAGAACACTAGATACAGAGGCTGTTGTAAAAGCCTTCTGTGTTCATGTCACCTGGATGAACAGCCTGGGATTAGGTGGTGGAGACGCTTGTAGTCTTCTGTCTCATGCATTGGATTGAAGCAAATAGGGCTTGTGGTTCTGGTTCCATTGGACAGGACAATCCTGGCTTGGGCCTGACTGAGAAACTTGCAGGGACTGACTTCTTTGCTGGTTGCCCAGTGATGGGAACTGGGTATCCTTTTTAAAGGCAAGAAATGCATAAACTGGTGAATGGAGGGAAGATCGGAAGTTGAAAGACAGAAGCCAATGACGAGCTAACACAGGCTATGGGGGGAAGCCTGGAATGAGTGTGTTAAAGATCTCTAGTGTATCTTGAAGGGGAGTAATGGGTTCTCTGCCTTTGAGTGGATCACTCTGCTGCTCCAAACAAATGTGGCCTTTTGGAGAGTGGGATTTTTCATGTAATACATTTCCATGACCTTGGGAGGCTGCTTCCTAATTAACTCAGTCTTGAAATCTCGGGGAAGAAACCATAGCCTAGCTCAGCATTGAGGGGCTTCTCATTTACCTTTGCTGTCTTGTGGGGGAACTGTTGTCTGGTAAGTAGAGCAAGGGAGGCAGAGGTAGATGTTATTCCTAGCTCTGCAACTGAATGTCTATGACCTTGGGTGCATCTTCTAATCACTCTGCCTCTGCGTTACCTTTGTAAAAGTGCCCTGAGTTCCTCGGTTGCTATGTACATATGAAATATTTATTATGTCTCAGAGCTAGATGCTGTGATGGCTTCATTTGCACAAACAAACCTGGTGTTAAAACGCAGATTCTGTCATCCAGCTGAACTGCTTCTATTTATTCTTGTGGTCCTTGCCTTGCAGTTGGATAGACTTTGCTGATGTGGTGGCTAGTTGGAGGTGGTTATTAAAGCATCAGGCTGTCTTTCACTCACACGTATGTAAAATGTGGATGCCCATGGGATGTGCTGGTATACTCACTATGTGTGCTCAGCAAATTCCTGCCAATGATGTCACTCCAGGATCTGTCATTCTTGACCTGGTTGTCATGAATGGAAGAGGTCAGCTCTGCTGGAGTTCAGTTACCTTCATGTGAAATATTTACCTCCCCCCAGCCTTGGCTAGCTGCTATTGTTCTTCAGTCTGCTGTGGACTGTATTGAATTAACAAATGATTAACTGCCCTCCTTCCCCATTTTGTATCCATGTCCACTCCTTGACATTTGTGTCCTGTTAGAACTTTCTGTGCTGTATAATTTATTTCACCTTCCAGAGTGAAAATACAAAGTCAAAAGAAACTACCAGTCAGGAACTATTTATTCTTTTGCTGAGGAATAGTCAGACACTGGTTCTCAGACATGTCCATGGATTAGCGGTGATCCACCTACCTGCTTTTGTGCCATGCTGGAAAAGTACATGAACCTTCAAGCTGACACTTACAGTGAGTTGTGGCTCATTCTAGCACTTAGAGTTAGTCTACGCTAGAAGTGCTACGTTTGTGTAGCTGCACCAATGCAACTGCAGAGCATCTGGGGAAGATGCTCTATACCAGTGTTTCCCAATTTTATTTGGCCAAGGAACCCTTTTCAGCTTTTCAGAATTTCAAGGAACCCTGAGGTTTGTCAAGGGGGAAAAAAGGGGGGGGGGGAGAGGAGAGAGGGAACCCACCAATTCATGAAAATCACATTCCTTCCCCAAGACCCCCCCCCCCATCTCCCTTATGTGAGGCCTCATCCTCTCTGTTCCCCTCCTCTCCATCACTTGCTATCCCCAGCCCTTATACCTGTCTCAACCTAGTGAGAGTGAGGTGTGAGGTGGGAATGAGGGATTTGGGTGTGGGAAGGGGTGGGAAGTACAAGCTCTGGGAGGGAATTTGGATGCAGGAGAAGGGGCTGTTGACTCAGGGAGGGGGCTCCAGGCTGGGGAGTGTTGGGCTCAGGTGGAAGGCTGGGATGCTGAGCAAGCCAGGGCTTGTGGATGTGAGGGTGCAGGAGTTTGGGCTGGATATGTGAGGGACTCAGGGCAAGACGTTTGTGAGTATGATGGGCTCAGGACACAGATTTGTGATGTGTGAATGGTGGAGGAATGTTGTGGCAGAAGACTGAGGATGTGGGGATGCAGGAGTTTGAGGATGTAAGAGGCTCAAGACAGGGGGTTCCAGTGTATGGTAGGCTCAGATTTGGGGTCAGGTGGTGCAGGAGTGTTATGATGCTGCAGTGAAATGGGGGTTTGGTCCCAATTGGAGGCTTGGTCCCAAAATATTATGTCAAACTCAAAAGGATTTAGCATTGTCCTTATATGTGAGAGGGGTAAGGAACCTGTTTTGAGTCAAAGGTCACTGACCCACAGAAAAGTCAGTTGGGGCCACACAAGTGAGATGCAAAAAAACAAAAAAAAAGCTCCTCCATAAACCCCCAAGCCTCACTAATGTGGTCCCAAATGTGCTGGTGGCGGTAGGGGACAGAGTGCTAGAGGGTGCTGCTGGGTGGAAGGATGCTGGCTCAGGTGGCAGGGTGCTGGGGCAAGATGCTGGGACAGGCAGGTGGCAGAGTGCTGGGGTCAGGGACATGGTCGTGCTGGGCATTAGGGTGACTGGCAGGGTGCTGGGACAAGGAACAGGGTGCTGCTGGGTGCTACCTTGGAGGGCAGGGTGCTGGGGCCAGGGCCAGGGTGGTTCTGAATCCTGGGGTGTGAGGCAAGGTGCTGGGGCCAGGGCGGTGCTAGGTTGGATGGCAGGGCTGCCATGAAGCAGGATAGGGATGGGGTGCAGGACCTGGGAGGGAGCTGGGGGGCGAAAGGGGACAAGGTCTGGGTGGTAGGTAGGGTGCAGAAGTAGGCTGGATATAGGGTGTCTGGCTACAAGGGAGGGTGCGAGGAGGGGACTTGGGTAGGAGTTGGACCTTCCTGATCTGGCACCCTCTAGACCTGACTGGTCCCAGATGAGGAATTTTTGGACCAGGGGAGATGATTTCAGGGCTCCTAGTTCCCCCCCCTTCCCCACTAGGCTTCTTTGCACCTCTATCCCCTGCAACCAAACTAAGCTGCTGGTTCCCTGCACTTTCCCCCCCCCAAAAATCCCTCATTGTCAGTGAAAATGAGAAGGTGAAATGGTTTACTATGAAAAGTAACAAATGAATAATCATGATTGCTTCACCCCTCCAATCATTCACTGATCTTCAGTCATAAGGGAATGTAAATATATTTATTGGGTTGGATCCTGGGATTCAGCTGAGGAACACTTGATACAAATTAGGAATGGGGGGTGGTGCACAGGTGGCTATAAATCATGTTTGACTTCCCCTCATCTTGGGATCATTAAGATGCTCTATTTTGCACCAGTTGTCAGCAGACCCAAAAGGACCCTCCAGCAGCCAGAAAGCATCAAGCCCCTCATGCTGTGGCAGGAAGGCAGACTGTTTTAAATACAAATATGGACACACAGTATTCCCACTTAACAAATGGCTTAATGAATGGAGACAGTGTTACCTCACTTCCTCGCACAGGATTTGTCCTTTTAATAATACTTTAAATACATATATTAGTAGGCAATTTTTATTTTGTTGTTGATAGTTTACCTTCCTTCATATTAGCCCGGGATTTCATATCCCAGAGATTGTCCTCTGGAGGTGCTCTGTAGGTTGTCACCTCCTGTACTGTACCTTTTTGTAAATAAAAGTAAGACTTGGGCTCTCAGCATAGTAAAGAACATGAGAAGTATGTAAAATTTGATATTTTATGGTAGTGTTCCTTTTTATGACTTACAATATGAATAATTACCCTCTCATATCTTAGTGGATTTACCTGCTATGTTGGCAAAGGAGGCCTCATCTACATTTATTTTGTGCA